TCATTGTATCTTTATATATAAAAATTAATTGCTGTTCCTTAGTCTCGCTAAAACTCGAGAACAGCTGAACGGATTTATTTTATCTTAGTCTTGAAATGTTTGTGGAGGTTCAGGGAAGGTATAAAACACTAAAAACAGCCATTTTCTATTTCCCATACAAACGTTTTTTTGACATTAGATTTGACAACTAATATGTCAATCATTCTGTTCGATTGAAACAGGAAAGAATTTAATAAATACCAATACCTGGTTATTAAAGACGGATGATCATAGTTCGCCCGGTCAGCTATACATAATTATATTACTAATAACGAAATTAATTCGGACGAAGTCACGGGCAAAAACTAGTATGTATATAAATATACACCTACATATATGATTACGAGATCAAGTTTGAAAGTACCGCCTCTATGACGAAAGGTATTGACAGATATGTAGCTTAAAAAATTTAGTGGGCATATTGTGGTAGAACTGCATTCACTTTGCTAAAGAATCCCTACTAATATTATAAATGCGAAAGTAACTCTGTCTGTCTGTTACTCTTTCACGTCTAAACCACTGAACTGATTTTAATGAAATTTGCTACAGACATAGAGTTGATCTTGAGAAAGAACATAGGATAGTTTTTATCCCAGACTTTTGTAAGGTTATCTTGGGAACGCGATATAACCGAACTCCACGCGGGCGAAGCTGCGGGCGGAAAGCTAGTATAATATACAATATATGTACTGGAAATTACTACAAAAATAACAGGTAGTAAGGTCAGTTACGTTTCCCTGTTCGTATTAATTAGAGTTAGAGTACTTTATCAATAGATTATTGTATAGAGTCAGACGGTAAAGAAATATTGAAGTCAAGAATAATCAAAAGATTTACATACATACATAAATCATTTACAATTAATACAAGTTTCACATCGTCACTACATACTTCACGTTAACAGTCTCTCTTTGATAAAACTTGTCATATTATGAACGAAACGCGTAACTCTACGTATCACGTGTACACTCGTGGTAAAAAAATAAAACGCATATTAAAGAGTTCTCGAGCTATGACAGCAGAGACATACGTACATCCATTATGTTATTAGTATTAAGAGGGTGACATCACCGCGGCCTCTTGGAAATAATATGAAACTAAATTACTACCATTTTAAACAGTATTAAGACAATCTTCTTATCACCGGTGTGATAAGACGAGATAATTGATAACAAGGTAGTCGCGGTTAAATAAACTTGTTTGTTTTGTAACGTGTGGGATGCTGGAGACGGTTCAACGTATTTAACTGACTGGTTAACTGATATATTATATAACTTGAAGTCGACTTAGTCACCACGGTCAAGATGATGGGAGTCTTGAAGTTGGTGTAATGATACAATGATTGAGAATTTTTCTAAAATAAATAAAAAGTATCGTAAGTTACTCTTAATTACATTACCTAACTTCCAATAAAAAGCCAATCAAAATCGGTAAAGCCATTTCAGAGATTAGCCGGAACAAACAGACATATAGACAAAAATCGTAAAAAATATATTTTAGTGTATGCAGCTATATGTTTTCATATGAATTTATTAAATAAAGTTATTTCAATATCACAAACTGATTATCCAATTTTATTTATATGTATATATAAAATAACTATAATAGGGATAAAATACATATATTTGAATATCATTTCATCCTTTCCAATATTTCCTTCACAGTGTGTTCGTCACAGTATATCAAGAACGTATCGACCTACTAACTTCACATATACATATATATAATAAAAACAACTATGTGTTTGTATGACTTCATTAAACTAAACCATCATTGGGACATACAAACAGACACAATGATATACAAAACATTTATTGAGGAATAATGAATTAAAACAGATCTATTCTTTGAATCTTCTTCTTCTACCTGGCAATTTCCCAGCTTTAGCCAGGGTCTGCCTTACATGTTGTGAATAGTTTTGGCTAACTGTTTTTACGACCGTCCGCCTGCCTGACATCAACCCTCTTTTGGGAATGTATTAATCAGTGATGTCTAAATACTCTTAAGTACATATGATTCCGAAAAATCACATTGGTACTTGACAGGATCGAACCCGCGCCCTCATGCATGAGAAGCGGCCCTTTTAACCACTAGGCCACCACTGACCCTATTCTTTGAATCAAGTTATAAAACTTAAAAGTCTTATATACACATATAGAGGAATGCTTAGAATTCAAGACTAGATTGTAAAATGAAAACAATTTGGCTACAGTTCCATATCAATATTCTTACCACAAGTCTGCATCGATACTACATACTTCTCGTTTACCGTTTCTCATACAATAATATTCTTTAGTAGAATGAAATAACAAGATTACGTATGCAGTGACGATGTAAAACTAAAAGTAAGCGTATAGGTATGTATGAAAAACATATTTTATATAATAATAAAAATAAACACATAACCAAGTTTTGTAGGAACATTATTTAAGATAACGCAAGGTCGCAAATATTTTACGTTTAACAATTGACACGCATAATGCGGCGTGAACTAATGTATTAAAGATATATACTAGACAATCACGCGGCTTCGCTTACTCTTCAAAAAAACTATATAAAGTCTCAAATATATTTGATACCACATAAGTTGCAAAGAGTTGTGATAGCTCAGTGGCCGATATGACTTTGGAGATAACGAAAGGTCGCGGGTTCATCTTTCAATTTATACATTAAGAGCATTAATAAGAGCATTGATACATGCTCTCGTTACTAAATTACTGGATTTAAATAGATAAAATTTAGCATAAAGATAGATCTTTAAAAGGAACTAAATTCTACTTGAAACATATTATAATTCCGATTATTCTGCATATAATTAATGACTATATAGTTACAAGGAAGCGAACCAAAACATTAGGTATCCTTACATGTCCTATATCAGAAGACTTCCTAAATACCAAAACAGAATGCGGACATAACCATATACATATATATGTATGTTAAGGAAGACTTTAAATACATATGGACATATCCCTACTAAAATGCGAAAGTAACTCTGTCTGTCTGTCTGTTACTCTTTCACGTCTAAACCACAGAACTGATTTCAATGAAATTTGGTACAAACATAGAGTTGACCTTGAGAAAGAACATAGGATAGGATAGTTTTTATTCCAGACTTTTGAAAGGTTCTCTTGGAAACGCGATATAACCGAACTCCACTCGGGCGAAGCTGCGGGAGGAAAGCTAGTTTAAAATAAATTCTATCACTATCAAACGATTTAATTCTTTACAACTTAGATATTCAACACACGAACAGACACACAAGTATAGCAGTATAGCTAGTACCATTATAAGAATTAAATCCACGTTCACTAACAGTACATTCAACATTTAAATAACAACTACCCTTCATGAGCGTTCCTTTTAAATAATTCGATAATTTTAAACTAAAAACTATTATATCGAAAACAAGGTGAAAGCATAATCATTATATATATAAATTGACCATACTCATCTACGTTTATATACAGGTACATATCCAATACATCACGTACATACAAACACTATATATATGTATATATATTTATAAACGGACAGACCATTTTATTAAACACCGAACACTGTTTTCACACTAAACGACACGTCCGAAGCGAGCTACACTCGCCGCGACACTGGTTTACATTTCAAATAATAAACTCGCCGTTAGTTTTACAAGTAACGTATGTATGAAAAATAATCTTTCAATTAAAGTGGAGAAGATAAGTTATTTTTGGAGGTTTATGTATATAATTAAATTATGTTCATGTTTTTGTTGTTTTATGATCGACATAATAAGTGACTTAAAATTACACGAGAAAATAAGGTCGGAAAAATAACTTTATAAATTTAATATAAGACAGAAAATTTGGATCAAATTATAAATTAAGAAGAATTACATATGTATGTAAATATTAAATAAAATACCTTTAAATAACTTTTTATTAATAATTGTATATAAAAACTATTCTAAAATCTACTTGAGACTACGATAAAAATTAAATATTTACTTATATAATAAGATGTGCTTGCTAATTAAGAACTTGTACATGTACATATTGTAACAAATAAAACGACCTTGGATCAAGAACCGTCACGAAACAACGCCATAACGATTTAAAAATTAATATTACATATTATAATCATCATCAGCCTATCAGAGCCTATGCTGAGCCTCTTCTCACATGGAGAAGGTTTGAGCATTAATCACCACGCTTGCTCAAGACGGGTTGGTGATATCAAACTTATAATTTGATATAAGTCCATGTTTCCTCATATTTTCCTTCATCAGTCAGTAATTTCTAAATACTCTTATAAAGTACATATGACTCGGAACAATCACATTGGTACTTGCCAGGATCGAACCCGCGCCCTCATGCACGAGAGGCGGGTCTTTAACCTCTAGGTCACCACGACTCTTATAATAAAATAATGTTTTGTTAAATTGTTAATATTTTCGCGCCATATCAAGGTTGCCAATAATGATTGTGACGTATTATGCATTCATCCGATTAATTGAAAAACATATTATTGTTTGTATTTCGATTAATTAATCGATTTTTTATAGCATGAATATGTAATTATCCGAATCGAATTGTACTCGATAAAAGATTCTACGGTTCTCTAGTGCCGTCAGACGTCAATGAAATCAGAAGCTATCAAGATTTTTGGCCTACATGCACAGATTGCTTTTGATCTCATCTTTTCAATATTACGTATTTTTGTTTGCTAGATCTATTGTTGGCAAAATTTAATTAACTTTCAAAAGAAATGAAGAATAATTCGATTTATATAACAGAAATTAAATGTCTTCAACTCATTAAATAGGCGATTTTGAATAAATATGAACTAACCAATGTTATCTTAATGAAGTATGACAAAAATCATTCAACCTTTTATAGTTTATGCCCATTTCATAAACATATATCATGAAAATAACCTTCTAAATAACTATATTATTAAATATATTATAATTCTCATCTCACCCGATCTGATATAGCCTCCTCCATTTTCCCGCGTTTTAATCCCGGCGCTCGTATGACGTTCGCCGGTGGCGCCACGACGGCGGGCGGAGGAACGTTCCCGCCGCCGCCGGGCCCCGACACCGGGATGAATCCGGCCTCCATCATCAACTGGACATCACCACCCGACGACAGATGGCGCTGTTTATAACGAACCGATCACTTCATCACAACACTCCACTAATAGATGGCGCCACTATACTATCACTCAACTCGACACTAGATGGCGTTGTACACAATATAATAAAACACTGGACGTATTCATATATAAGGCAGGAACAAATTACAACTTGAGCTTGCTAGGAACGGAACGATTCACGATACTAATACTTCAATTCCACAGAGTAATTCAATTCCAGAGATTTATCATTAATTAAATTATTAATACATCACTATCAATATGGAGCAATATTCTTCATTATTTCCATCACCACCTGAAACAAGAGAGAATAACATTAACGATGATTAATAATCGGTCTTATAATACTATTTTTAAGGTCTATAATAGGGTTTTAAGTGGAGTCGAACAAATTTTATAAAGCTTTATATATACAGTGTAAACTCTATATAACGACACTCGATTTAACGACAAACTCTCTAAAGCGTCGAAATCATTTGACTTTGGTTGGTTTCTCTTGTCTACCATACTATGATACTCTCTACATAGCGGCATACCCACTCTCAATAACGACAACAATTAAGTAATAAAAAGTACCTGTTAAGTTGCTAAAATTAGTAAAACTGTGCAGCTGTGTATGTTCCTTTGTCGCTTTGTTATCCTAGCCCGCAATAAACTCGACTGTCCCTATCATCCATACCCAACTTTCTAAGAAATTCGTTCTTTTGTTTACAATTACAAATTGCTTAAACGTGTCGACGGTTTTTGACCATAAGTAGGAGTCTTGTATTACCTATACGTTAACATAAAAAGTTGCTCACAAAATCTCAAACTATAACATTATTTTTTATGTACATAAGTACTAACAGTAGTCTGAAACAAACTTTGTCTTTTTCTAATTCTGATTTTTCTTCCCTCTATTTAACGGCAACTCTCTATAACGCACTAAAATGCACGGTCCCTTCAGTGTCGTTATATAGAGTTTACACTGTATTTTGGTTGATGATAAGGCAAATTTCTATAAAGTATAGTATATAAAAGCATGGGATTTGATAGAAAATTCAGTGTCCACACTAGTACATATAAAATATCTTTTACTTTAACAAATTAAGTTTTTAAATCTTCTATATATGTATATATAAAAATGGATTGCTGTTCCTTAGTCTCGCTAAAACTCGAGAACAGCTGAACCGATTTGGCTAATTTTAGACTTGAAATACTCCTGGAAGTCCAGGGAAGGTTTAAAACGTGAGAAAAATTGGCATAATTGCCAATAAAACCCTAAAAACAGCCCTTTTCTATTTCCCATACAAACGTTTTTTTTTTGACAGATTTGACAACTAACTAATATGTCAATCATTCTGTTTGATTGAAACAGGAGAAACCTGATTATTTATGGCCTCTAAGACGGAATAGAGTTCGCCCGGTCAGCTATACATATATTACTCTTGACCAAACTAACGCGGACGAAGTCGCGGGCAAAAACTAGTATATGAATAAAAATAATTACACAACTAAAAGTTTGTGTAATGACAAATAAAAACTAAAAAAAATCATATACAGGTATATATTGCATTAAGTAAATCATTTTCATTTAAATGTATATAATATTAAATGAAGTAAATGTATTCTATTTATAAATACATTAAATTTATCCTTATTATTTGAAGTTTAAGGAAAACAAACTATTTATAAATCAATATTTAATACTTTAGAATTATATTGAGAGAGGAGCTTGGACGGTGGAGGTAAGTGTTTAACGCGTTAGATAGGGGTCCCTTAAACCTACACCTGGGTCACAAGTCTCAGTCACTGTTGAAGCTCCTCTCACTACAACGATGGACCCGACACACGCACCGTGAATACATTGAATGATGAGAGGTTTCGTCTCTCTATATATATTAAACCTACACCTGGGTCACAAGTCTCAGTCACTGTTGAAGCTCCTCTCACTACAACGATGGACCCGACACACGCACCGTGAATACATTGAATGATGAGAGGTTTCGTCTCTATATACATGTTGTACTGATGTTTTAACAAAATTGACAAATCATTCAGTTAGTTATAAACATACATACGTTAACTTTACCTCCTGAACTCTTAACTCATTTGAATATAAGTTAAAAATTAACTAAAACACATGTTGAGTTAATCTTATACAGTTGAACTGAATTTTATCTTTATATATAGTGTTAGTAATAATTATTTTTAATGATTTAAATAGTTGTCTTTTTCATAATTCTAAGCTTAACGCTATTTATATTTCAATATTTATTAGGAACTAGTGGAGTTCGGTTATATCGCGTTTCCAAGAGAACCTTTCAAAAGTCCGGGATAAAAACTATCCTATGTTCTTGCTCAAGGTCAACACTATGTCTGTACCAAATTTTATTAAAATCAGTTCAGTGGTTTGGGGGTGCAAGCGTCACAGACAGACAGAGTTACTTTCGCATTTATAATATTAGTAGGGATTCTTATGATAGTCAACTAGCGCCATATATATATATATATATATATATATATATATATATATATATATATATATATTTTTTTTTAGTGTAAATTAATACCAGGTAATTAATTACCACTTGTGGAGCTATAAACATCCAAGTGGAAGTACTGACTAATTTACTACTAACAATAGTTAAATGTTTTATAGTTAAGTTATCTTTATATACAGTTAAATACGGGACGAACAGACTTACGTTGGTACATAATTTATATATATTAATATTGGAGGCGAGAGACCGTTGTATACTAACAGTATTCTGAAAGAAAAATATCTCAGCGGGAGTATATATTACTTAGAATACGACGCTAGGAGACAAGTAGAGTTATTTGTCTGTTCGTTGAAAATTTTATATATATAAAGTTTAAATATAAAACCTTATTACTATTACTACAGCGTGACGGTGACTGTTTCACGTACTGTTAGTGAGTTAAATTTATTTTCACATACACGAGTAGTAAGCGTAATATATTTAATTAGTTAATAAGATCTAAAACTTTCGCGAGTATTCTCCTTCTACCTGGCAATTTCCCAGCTATAGCCAGGGTCTGCCTTACATGTTGTGAATAGTTTTGTCTAATTGTTTTCAGGACCGGCCGCCTGCCTGACATCAACCCTCTTTGGGAATCACCATTAATCAGTGATGTCTAAATACTCTTAAAAAGTACATATGACTCGAAAAAATCACATTGGTACTTGCCAGGGCCAGGATCGAACCCGCGTCCTCATGCATGAGAGGCGGGCCTTTTAACCAGTAGGCCACCACGGAGATAAAACTTTTCCGAGTAATCATTTAAATAAATATAATATTTTCGAATGAACTAAACTTTATTTTTATTTTAAACTACTTACTCCCGACTACTTAATATTACATATTAAAAAATATATCCTATAATGATGTAGCTATAGAAATAATTAGCGAAAGTATCGCGAAAAGCCTAGTCATTTACATAACAAATTAGCATAACGAATAAAAGTTTTTGCTATAGTAAACATACACTTACACAATATCTTATGCAAATGTTTCCATATTTGTTATATGTTGTAAAATTTCCTAATACGAGAATCTCCGACTGTTGACTTGAAGGTCGAAGAACCGTTTGAACCAGTTCTGAGTCCTAAGAGCGGTCAAGGCGAGAGAATTCGGGTGACATTATATGTTTTTTAAGTCGTGCTGGCCTAGTGGTTAAGTCCGCCTCGTGATAAAGCGCAGGTTCGATCCTGGCAAGTACCAATGTGATTGTTCCGAGTCATATGTACTTAAGAGTATTAAGACACCACTGACAGATGAAGGAAAACATCGTGAGGAAACATGGACTTGATTTTAACTCAAAAAGGTAAAATATTTTAACATAATTATATGTAGATGGACAATTATTTACATAAAAATGTATTTCCTCATAAATTGAATATGTGGTTAATGTTCTATATAAATATATATTTTCATTGAATTGAACAATTGTAATTATATTTTACACATATACGTATGTGTTTTCTAGTCAGTAGTGGCCTAGTGGTTAAAAGACCCGCCTCTCATGCACGAGAGCGAGGGTTCGATCCTGGCCCGGGCAAGTACCAATGTGATTTTTCCGAGTCATATGTACTTTATGAGAGTATTTAAACATCACTGATTAATGCATTCCCAAAAGAGGGTTGATGTCAGGCAGGCGGCCGGTCGTAAAAACAATTAGCCAAAACTATTCACAACATGTAAAGCAGACCCTGGCTATAGCTGGGAAATCACCATGTAGAAGAATAAGATGTGTTTATAAATATTATATTTTATATAAATATTTCCGTGTTGTAGATTTTATCGTATCCTAGTCGATGTTCGTTCAGTTACTTTCTCTCCCACTGTTATCAATAAGTTTAATACACAGATCTCCGACGAACTCTGTTCATAATGAAACATAGGAATACTATTTATTATACACTATACAATATGTAGTTATTGAAAAACTTTTATTAAAGGCAACTATTATTTTTTTATAATAGTATCTAAGCAATTCTAAAAGAATTAAAAATGACGTAACCTTAGAACGGGTTTGGCGATCAACGTGGAAACTGTCAGTTTAGCGTCAAACGTGAAATTATCGATTATTAGTTCGAGAATGTAAATTTTGTTTACTATTCGACGTACATGAAAGAAAGATTATCTTCTATCTTCTATATATATAAAAATGGATTGCTGTTCCTTAGTCTCGCTAAAACTAGAGAACAGCTGAACGGATTTATCTTATCTTAGTCTTGAAATGTTCGTGGAGGTTCAGGGAAGGTTTAAAAGCTGAAAAAATTTACGAAAAATTTAATGACGAAATTAACGCGGATGAAGTTGCGGGCAAAAACTAGTATTTATATAAATTTGTCAGAAAAATATATAGTCTGAAATAAAACAATATGTACATACGTATCTTCAAACTACATACTTTCAGTTTACACGTGATAATTGAAACTTGTAGTAAACTAGCACAATGTATC